CTCCACGGCCGTCTTCTCACAGTCGGCTATCTTTTTCTCGTTTGTCCCGGTCCTGCCCTCCAGCGTCAGAAGCCGCATGGCCTGGGCCTCCAGCTTCCTCTCCACCGCCTGGACGGCAGCCCACACGGCCAAGCGGGTGATCTCTGCGGTCGGGAGTGGCGTGTCCTTCTGGGCTGCAGAAGAGATCGGGTAGGGGGTGTCCTTTTGGGAAACTGGGCTCTGGAGCAGGGGGTCCATGTCGGCCTCGGGAACTGTTGGGGAGAGGGTCAGGGGGTCCTTCTCAGGAACTTCCGGGGAGTGGAGGGGAGCTTCCTGGTGGTGGGTGGAGTGGGAGAGAGGTGAGATTTCTTGTTCAGCAGCAGCCGAGGGTGGATACTGGGTCTCTTCTGGGGAAGTCAGGGGGCCCCGGAAATGAGTCTCTTGTTCAGAAGCGGCAGGATACAGGCGTGAAGGTCCCTTCTGGAGAACAGGCGGCATTCGGCCAGAAGTCTCTTGCTTGGGAGCCTGGGATAGGGAGCCTTGTCGGGGAGCGGCGGGAGACAAGGAAGGGATTTCTTTGGGGGGAAGAACGCGGGACTGGAGCAGAGTTTCTCGGGGGAGGCCAGCAGGGGCCTGACGTGGGGTTTCTTCAGGCAGAACTCCGGGGAATGACAAAGGTGACGAGCGCTGGGTCTCCATGTCCAGCTGCTGGACCTGTGTTCCAGGAGGGAAAGGAAAGGACAGGAGTGAAGGCCAGAGGCTCCAGCTGGCAACATAAACGCCAAAGACAAGTACCCACAGGAAAAGGGCTTCAGGTTTGGGGGTACTAACATATAGGCCATGGACACGAATCTTTTCTTGAGACCCTAGCAGTGATTTAGACATCTATTATAAAATGATTATTAATAAATAAATTATAATACAATTATTAATAACAAACAATGCTTACACCACCTTCTTCTGCTTTTTATAGAGCCACTTCCTGCTTTGTTCACAACATATGTCTCACAGCAATCATCTCATGAACAGTAAGTAGTGTAGGAACGGAGGAAGGGTGCTGGCCTCAAATGGCAACGCGCGGTTTTCAGTCCGGTCTACACCATTTGCTGCCTGATCACCCTGGCCAGGTTGTTGTTCAACCTTTCTGTTCTCAGTGTTCTTATCCATAAAATAAAGATAACAGTATCTAACACACTTGATACCTCCCTGAGTTGAGCATTCAGCACTAAATAAGACCTTGAAAAATGATAGAGCAGAATTTTGTAAATGCCAGGCATTGTTACTCTCCCAAGGCCCCCCTCGAGATGGGTGGTGGTTACTGGGGGGGGCCAGAGCTGTTTAACTGACTTACCTAGAAGGTAACCATGACATCTGGCCCCACTGCTTCTACTTCTGTCATCAGGCAGTCACAGTGACATGTTCTTTCCCTCACTTTGTCCAACAGTAAGGACACACAATTACCTTGTTTTGCCAGACACTTTGATAAAGGCTTAACTGGTGACTTACCAATAAAATCTCTCAGAATTTATATGGTACAGGTTTGACACTGAGACAACTTATAGGGACCCAGGCCCTACTGGAGAGGCTGAATGGGCTTCTGCTATGAAGCAGAGAAGACAGGGCCTGAGCCAGGCGAGGGGATGGCAATTCGGCCACTCCTGCGGGAGCCGCGGTCCCCGGCAGCTGGCCCACGGCGGGAGGTGTACCCTGGCAGCCTGCATTCCGCCCTGTGGATCAGGAGGCGGCGAACGAGGAGAAAAGGCAGCCTGGAGGCAGAGATGAAGGCAGCCAGTTTTGTGCCTTGTGTCAAGACTGGTGGGGACTTGAACCAAAATGAAGATGATCCTTTTTGGGATTTCAATTATCCACGCTCTCCCTCTTCCCCACCTTGGACATCCATGTTTAGAGAATTTTTGTGTCATCAGGGAGGCAAAGCCAAGGTCTTCTGAGAGACCAGCTCTGTATTTACCTACCCAGACAATGAGCATCTTTATTGGAACTGAATAGAATTTCCTCTCTAACAATGTTTGTCCATTCATCTTTCCTCGATGACTGCTGACTGGCCAATTTTGATGCGCCATATACAAGTGATCTTTAAAGTAACTGAAATTCCCATTTTCTTTGAAAATTAGCACATCCCTCAAGTCCAGTCTGATACATAGTATGTGCTCAACAAACTGCTGAATGAATGCATAGTATAAATTATTGGGTTGCAAAAGAAGTTATTAGGGTAAATGACAAAGTTCCTTCAGATCTATCAAAGGCCATCTAAACCTATTTATATTTTCTAACATGTTTTTCTTTTATTTGTTCATCATTGACTTATGGGTGGCTTAAATGAGACAGCATCACACTCTTACGCCAAGGACTGAAGATGTAAGATCTTGTTTAGGCAAAAGGTTTTTGAGGTAGTATGCTCCAACAGCTGTGCCTGGGTCAACCAGATGTGAGTTAATCAGGCAGCAAACAGCTCTCAATTATTTGGCATTTATTAGGTGCCGTGAACCATGTTAAGCAATTTAAAGGGTTAATTCATTTAATCCTCACAAAACCCTATGAAACAGAGGCTACTAGAATTATTACCCACCCTTAGCCTGGGAAGATGCTGCAGGCATGGACAGATTAAGGGACTTGTCCAAGGTCACACAGCAGTCTAGCTCTAGGGCCTGGGCTTTCAGCCTCCACTGTAGGTCGTCTCTGGGATTCATCTGTCAGCTGAGGCAGCTGGCCAGTATATGTTCTGAATCCTTTTACCCCTAAAATCCCGAGGCTTGGAGACTAAACAAAGACCTGTGGGAAGACCCTGTCCATAAGCACATTTCCATTTAAAGCTGGAATCAGGGACCCCTTCGAAAACCTAATGAAAGTTATGGATTCTCTCCCTAAAAAATACACATGGGCACATACCTAAAATTCTGCAAACACTGTCAAGGGGTTCACAGACCCCTAAACCTGAGGCTCATCAACAACTGAGCCACCTCTGAACTCTTCATAGGCGACAGGCGAGGGGGACAGGACTGGACAGCCCTCTGGGATAGGAGCCTCAGACAAATGGAAATGACTAACATAATGTAACACAATAGGCACATTAGGGCCCTGTCCTCAGAGGGGAGTTAGGGTATTTGCCTACAACTAGTAGGAAGAAGGGGAAATCCCCAGAGGCCCAGTTGGTCTCTATACTCTGTATTACTCAGGGGTTTAACCGAAACAATGAAAAAAAGCTCCAGTACAGTAAATAAAGCTGGAAGGGCAAGACACCATTACCAACTAGTCTAAGCAAAGCTCAAAGGAAAATACCACTTCTTTGCTCTCTATTATTAGACAGTCCTTCTCCATTTCTGGGTTTGGAGGGCTGTAGACAGAGGGACCACAGGAGCACATCCCCTCCCCTGCCCCAACATAAAAGCCCCTTGCTATAATTTCATCAGTCCCAGTAATCTGTAGCTTGATTTTACCCTAGGCACAATGAAATGCCAAAGAGAGGGATGGAGCTGTAAATACAATATATAAGATTAATAAACTTGCATTCTCAAATTGTTGGGGGCAGGGGGATTTCACAGGATTTAACCAACCCTCCCTACCCATGTATCCTAAGTGGACGGGGTCTCCAGGATTCATGCCACATTAGTAGAAAAATACATAAACACATATATTTGACTTACAAAGGGAGCCATGATAATTTTGTTACAACCCAGTGTGGTTCACCCTGAATTATTCAAGCGCCCTGTAGACCTACGCCCAGAGATCGGCATTTAAAAAATCATTTTTTTCTTCCAAGAGTTTTTATATTATTATTATTTTTTAGGATTTAGGCTCTTTATAAAGCCATACATCCCAACCCCTTCCTGAACACAGTAGGAAACTGAGGCTCAGGGCCACTGACTCCCACGCAGCAATCCTCCCCTGCCCGGCTGCTGCATCTCAAAGAGCAGGTCGGCGGGGATATTTAAGACTGATTTTTAAGAATGGCCCACTGAGGAGGAACATCAACCCCCACACCTTCGGTAGCTCGCTCCCCAGACCCCATCCGTCTGGCCCCCCGAGTGTGGCCGGGGCCCTCCAGACGCAGAGGCTGGAGGCCAAGGCGCCTGAGCCCGAGGGTCCGCGGTTTCCCACGGCGGAGACGCAGGCGCTGCCCGGCCTCCCAACGGCGTCACCTCCCCACCGACGGGCCGCGTCCACCGCGCGCCTGGCCAGGCTCCTAACCCCGGGGAAGGCCGCCGTCACGGCCGCCGCTTCCCCGTCCAGGCCCGCAGCCCGGGAGGCGGGCGTTTCTGGGGACGCGGCCACCGCGCCGCGGATGGCTCGCTACGTGACCTTGGGGCCGGCTGGGCGGGTCGCCGCCAAGTGTCTGTGCCTCAGTGTCTCCGCTCTGCGAAATGGGAAGAGCCGCGTCGGCGCCGCGCTCCGGCCGCGTGAGGCTCGGCGGGGGCGAGCTCTGCGGAAAACGTGCGGCAGCAACCCCGACGGACGCAGCGCCGTCGCCGCGGGGAGCGAGGCGCGCCGCCCCAGACGCCCAACTCCCGGCCCGCGTGCGTGCCAGGCCCTGGCGTCCCGCGGCCTCGCCCGGACGGCGGCCGGCTCCCAGCCCCGCAGCCCCCCTTCCGCCCAGGGGCGCACGGCCCCCGCCCCCCACCAGCGTCGCAGCGTTTCTGTCCCTTACCGAAACCCCAGGCCGGGCCGCGGGGCCCGGCACGCGCAGGCCGTCCCCCGGGCCCCGAGTCCGCGCGTCCGTGCGCGCGCGGGCCGCCCTCACAGGAGCCGGGGCCGCCTCAGCCATGGCCCCGCGCTGTCCCGCCCGGCCCGGAGCCGCCGCCGCCGCCGCCGCGGGCCCCACGCAGGCCGGCCCCCAGGCCCTCCGCAGGCGGCGTGCGCCCGGCCCTGCTTCCCCGCCCTGCTCGCGCGGCCGTCGGGCCCGGCCTGCTCGGGGCGCGCGGGGCGGGCGGGGACGGAGCGGCCGAGCCGGCGGCGGCGTCGGAGCGGGGCGCGCGGCGGTGCGGGCGCCCGGCAGGCTGCGCCCCGGCCGCGAGCTGGGCCCCGGCCCTCAGCACCGGCCCCCGGCCCGCGCGCGGCCCCTGTGCGGCCGCGGCTGCGACCCCGGCTCCGGCCCCGGCCCCGGCTGCGAGCTGCGCTGCCGTCCCGGCGCCTCTTCAGCAGGGGAGCTGCACAGCAGCTGCCATGTTGATACAAACTGCATCCTGGGAGGCATGTCCCTCTCAGGCCGTTTAAAGAGAAACACTCCGAGGCTCGTCGGAGGCTGCCGGAACCCAGACAGCTCCATCTACAGCCGGTAGGAGCGAACAGTGTCGAGCGAGCAGCCAGGCGGCGGCGGACACGCCCTGAGCCCCGGGCCAGCCCGTCGTGGAGCAGGGCCGAACCGCTCGGGCCTCCCGCCCCCGGGCCCCCCGGCCTCTCACCTGGGGTCCTCGCCTCCCCGGGCACCCTGGGGCGAGAGCGGGAGGCGGGCGAGCCGCGGAGAAAGGAAGCGCGCAGCCGAGGCGACGTGCTGGGGTCTGGAGGCGGCTTGATTGGTCCGACAGCCTTCCTCCCGCCGGATCCCCCTGCTCCTCTCAGACCCAGAACCCGGGTCGTTGCCTTTCAAGACCTGCGCTCACAAAGGGATCTAAGAAACCCGTCACACCGAAGGGAGCCCGGAGTTCATGTGACCGGCTCTGTGCAGCCCGGGTTCCAGGGAAGCGGGCTCTGCTTCCAGGGGTGGCACGGGGGCTGGGTGGCTTTTGTGAAATGCCCGAGTGTTGTTTTTGACATGAAAGGCCGGGATTCCGAGAATCATAGGGTGCCAGGGCCGCAAGGGGCCAGGCCCGTCATTTGGGAGGAAACTGAGGCCGAGTGGCAAGTGACTTGTTTACCCTACGTTGCGGTTTCCGTCTCTCGAATGGAGGCTCTTTCTAACCACGAGAGATCCCCAAAGAATGGAGGAGCGCAGAGTTGGCGGCTTCCCTTCCTGGACAGGTCCACTTGTACACACATATTTATGGAATACCTACCAGGTGGAAAGAACTGGAAATGAAATAAAAGGAGAGAGTACAGGCAGGCTTCCTCCCTACAGGTGATGAAAACCCAACTGGAACTAACTTAGAGGGGAAAAAGTAGAATATATTTGTTCACCTAAAGGGGCCCCAGGGAGGTCAGGGATGAGGCTGCCTCGACAGGCAACAGGAGCAGGACCCCGGCCTCTCTCTAAAATGCAAAGTTATGGACAGAGAGAAGGCCAGCGCCATGAAGGGCGTCCTTCCTTCCCTTCCCAGAGTTTAGAGTTCCCCAGTCTGGGTGCATTTCCAACCGGGTATCAGTAAACAGTGCATGTCACTGATTTGGGGATTCAAAATTTTATGTGAATGATATAATTCAGTCCATATCTGGTTGCAACTTGCTTTTTTCCCCCCATGAATCATTTTTGACACACAGTCATATTTAAACAAGTATATCTGGTTCATTCATTTTAACTGAAAAGCACTATTTCATTGAATAAATAAACTCCAATTTACTTTCCATTCTCCTGAAGAGGAAGGAAGACAAACCTGCTCTCGGGAACATCTACATACCCGTCTCCCTGTGCACCCTGTGGGAGCTTCTCTCCCAGAGACGCCGAGACCCTCCGTGCTGGGGGACAGGAGCATCTTCATCTCCGCTAGACTTGCCAGACTGCTCACCAGAGAGGGGCACCTGGTGACATGCCCACCAGCTGTGCAGGGGGGCCTGTTTTCACTTTCGATAAGACTTGGAACCTCTGCCAGCCCCGTGGATGTGAAATGGTAGTTCGTTGTTTTACTTTGTATTGTATTTGTAATTCCCCAATTATTAAGGAAATGGAACATCTTTTCATATTCACTAGACATTTGGTTTCTTCCTCTGTGAGTTTCCTCTTCATATCTTCTGTCAGTGTTTCTGTTGTGACGTCTTTTTCTTACTGGTTTTAACGTGGTTTTAAAAAACATATTCTGGATCTTAATCCCATCACCAAACACTTCATGTGCTGACTGATACGACTGCGTTTAAGTCCGCCACCTTACTAGTTGTTTTCTGTGTGTTCCAGATGTTCAGTGATACTCTTTTCTCCCCATCTCCTTTTGTTGACCTGCTTTTGGATAGAGTATTTAAAAAATGATTCTGTTTTTCACCATTCATTTATTATTATGCCTCATTTTTAGTGGTTGCCCTAAATTGTAAAATAGAGATCTTAAACTTTTAACAGGCTATTTCATATAATTATACCACTTCACCTATGGCCCCCTAACCTTATGACAAGTTGTCCACCACCCTTTGTGCTATTGTTGGCATACATTTTATGTTTCTAAATGTTATGGTACGATCAGGAAGTGTGAGTCCTCCAATTAACCTCTTCTTTTTCAAGATTGGTTTAGGCTATTCAGGATGTCTTAAACTTCCATATGAATTTTAGCATCAGTTTGTCCATTTCTGAAAATAAGCTAGCTAGAATTTTGATGGAGCTCTGAAGTTAGCAGAACAGCTAAAAGCCTGCTAAGAAGCACCTAGATTAATCTATGATCATTCTTTACAGATGGATGTATGGTGGGCATTCAATATTAATAATTTTGGATTTTCTTGTTACCAAAATAAAATGAAAGACCTGAATAGTTAATTAACTGATTTGAATTTATCTTTCTTCATCTTCGAGAATATATAAAATGTGGAATAATAAAATATACTTTATATCTGGCATGTTCAATACAAATTTACTTCTATAATTATATATATTCTTGGTATATTTTTCCCCCTAAGTTTACCAACTGTGTATTTGACACATAAATATTTTGTAATCAGCTGAAAATTTTTCTTACGAACTTTTTACAGTAGGAGTTGTTGCAAGATACGAACATGTAAAGCTGTATTAAAATGAAGTGAATGAAACACTGCCTTGTTTTTTCTTAGTCATTTTCTTTTAAAAACATTTTGTATATCATTTATTATTTATTTCTAATTTTTTGCATTGTGGTTATAAAAAAGGTCTAAATAAAATTGGTTATTTAAAATTTGTTGTAATTTGCTTTACAACCAGTTTTTGCAAATATTTCCCTCTACAGTTGAAAAAAACATTAAGATCTCTGAATAAAATTAGTTAAATATGCTTTCCAAGTTTTCTATATTCTTAGTATTTTTTGTTTGTTTTATCAATTACAGAGAAAGGTATATAGAAATCTCCCGTTGTGATATTTTTAAAATTTTCCTTATAATTCTGTCACTTTTTGCTTAATATATTTGGAGACCATGCTATTAGGTACATTGCACCTTATTTTTTTCAGAATATACTGACACTTTTTATCCTAATAATACCTTTTTCTTTAAAGCCTGTTTTGTCTAATATTATTACTAATCCATTTTCTTTGGGTTAGTGTTTGCTGGTATATCTTCTTTTCCTAAGTCTTTAGTTTGAACTCTAGCAGTTCCTTAAATTGTAGGTCTATCTCTTGTAAACAGCATGTGACAAGATGTCAGATGTCATCTTGCCCTTGTCTGGGAACTGAAGCTAAGGCTCAGAGTTGAGAACAAAAGGCATAAGCTACCCCGCATTTTAATTTCCTGTGGCCAGAAGGAGTTGGGACATCACTCACCTACCAAGCTTGCTAAGAGGCTCAGAACTGACACATAAAAGGAGGCCAGGAGAGAAGGGGCTTCCAGCCATTCCTCCCCTTTCTACCCCGTGAGAGAGTCCTTAGTCTCCTTTCTCCCTTCAAGGAGCCCAGGAATACGACCCACTGACCTTTTCCAGTCTCCCTCTTCGATTACAGAGAAGACGAGACAGGCACTTGATTCGTATCCCCTGAAGTTTGTGGGCACAGGCAGAACGTGGAGACGGGTGGTTTTTCAGGCAGAGATTACTGAAGCCTTGAAAGCATCACAGGGAAATGGCAGGGCTGTTCCTACCCCATTCCCGCCCCCCACCAAACCCAGGGGTCCAAAATGAGACCTGAGCAGCGTCCTTGCCTTCCTGTAAAGAGCACAGTGGTTGGAGCGGCCGAGTGGGAACTCTGAGGCTGCCCACGTGCCCACACGGCCACAGGCCACGAGGTGGGTGTGTACCCCTGGGCTGAGCTGGGGCAGACATTTCTGGCTGCCCCTCTGGGAGTGATTCTCCAGGTGAGAGGTGGGCAGAGTGAAGCTGAGCGCTACCCTGAGACGACCTCACATACGCCTACCTGGAAACGCCCCATGCCGGCAGAGGCCCGAAGTCCCCGGGAGAACCAGGCTGAATGAAGGCTCTGTAGGAGCACACATGGCCATGTCTCCCTTCACCTCCTGTTTGAACTCTCCACGCCTTGGACAAAAGGGAGGCTTTGTGAAGGCTGATGCTAGCTCTGGGTGAAGGCAGCTTGGGAAGACCAGAGACGCAAAGGAGAGAGGGTTTGAGGAGCAGACCATGTGCTCTCTCCACCCCAGCCAGCCAGATCTGGCCCAAACCAGGGTGGAGGGTACACCAGCGCTCACTGAATATGAGACCGAAGGTCAAATATGGTTCAGAGTGAGGCTGGAATGAGACTTTTCTGATAACAAGAAATTATAATAACATTTTAGAATTTCAATAAGATGTCATTATGGTACCAAACATCCAGTAAGAGAAAAAGGGTTGACATAACACAATTACAGGGCCGTCACTAGAGAAAGGAAACTGTTTTATGTTTATGCCCTAATGAGTTAACTTTCTCATAAAAACCTCAAAGCATAGAGCTGGATTGTTGTTTTATAATCTGGCAATTTGTCTTTTGACTGGAGAGCTTTTTTTCTATTTTCAGTGACATAGATATATTTGGATTTTTTTCCCTCATCTTATTTTGTGATCTTTGTTTACCCTAATTTTGCTTCTTTCTCGCTTTGCCTACTTTCTATTAATCAAGCTTTCTTTACCTTTTCTCCCTCTGCTAGAAGCATTTTACTTCTATTCTTTTAGAGGCAATGATGAACATTTTAAATGCATATGTTTGACTTGCAAAGTCTAAATGTAATTGATATCTCTGCCCTTCTCTTGAAATCACCAGGAAATCATGCTTTATTCTTCTTACATGTCACCTAGCATTTTAGTTCCACTTTGCTTTGTATCCCCCAACTTTGTCTTTATCATTGCTTTATAAAGTCAGTGGGTGTAAAGATTTAACCATGTTTACTAAATATTTTTTGTTCACCATTCTCCTTACATACTTCTCTTTCTTACTGGGTTCAAATTTTTTCTTCCCAAAGGGGAGTCCTCTGTTGTTTTTAGTGAGTATCTATGAATGGTACACTCACAGGTTTTATTTTCTGAAAACATCTTTATTTGGTTTTGCTCATGTATGATAACTGATCAGTGTATATAAAACCCAAGTTGACAGTTATTTTTCCTTACCACTTTGCAGGGCTAGTCTATTATCTTCTGAGCTCTGTTTTTATTTAGAAGAGTCTATCATCAATCTACTAGCTTTTCTCTTGAGGTCAACCTGTCTTTTTGTCTGATTGCTTTTAGGATCTACTCTTTATTTTTGGTGTTCTAGTTTCACCACAGTATTTCTATGTGTGGATTTTCCTTTGTGCCTCTTGAATTTGAGGATTTATGTCTTCCATCAATCCTTGATGCTTGTCCTCCATTCTTTTAAAAAATGTATGTCTCCTAATCTCCTAATTACCTCTTTCTAGATGAGAAAATCAGAGAAGATGGATGTATGGTAGGTATTCCTGGACTATGCTCTTACCGTGTGCTTCCAGCCATCATTTTACCTCTCTTACACTCCGGGTACTTTCTTCTTGTGTCTTTCATTTAACTAATTCTTGTCAGCTGTGTCCACTGTTTAACCAGTCCATTGAGTTTTTTCATTTCAGTGCCTTTTTCTAGTTATGTTGTTTTCCTTTTCAAATGTTACTTTCTTTTTTAATATTATCTTGATTTTTCTCAAGGTTTGATTTCTTTTCTCCATACTTTTTCTTCCACTTTCTGCTCTTAGTTGTGTATCGTATGAAAGTATTCACAAAATATGTAGTACTTTATATTTTGGACGATCTTTACAGAATTCAAGTTATTGGATTCTGATCCTGCTGTTCGCTGTATTCTCACTAATTGGTGGATTGTGTCTGTGAGTTTTGCAACTTGTGACTGTGAGCTTATACTGAGCCAGGCTTGTGGTCTGGATTGTGGGATAGTTCCTCCTGTTTCCGAGATTCCTTCAGTTGGAAACCTCAGGTGCTATCATCAGCCTAGGTCCAGTTTTTATATCAATCCATCAGACCTATGGGTAATGTAAATTTGAATCCCAAACTCCGTAAAGTATTAGCTGTGGTTTTGGATTCCAAGGAAGATTGTAGCCCCATCCACCACCATTACCCAGGGCCCAGCCTGAGACAGATAAGCTTTTTGTTACTTGTAGCAGCCACAGAGCTATACCACTGAGATCTCTGTTCAAGAACTTACCATTCAGCTACAGAGTATGGTTGGCTAACAGCTCCAGTTATTAACATCTTCAGGAAACACCTCAGCTTTCAAGCTAAGGCCATGCTTTCCTTGGGCAGCTCCACCAGTGAGTGAGCAGGTGGGGTCCTAGGGCCGGGTTATTTCTATCCAACAGGGGACTCCTTTAACAGGCAGTATTTGCTCTAGAAGCTTTGTTCAGTTGGCTGAAACTTTGCAAAACCGTATCACGTTCTGCTCCTGTTATCTAATCCTGTTTCCTCTCCTCTTTTCTTTCATGAATGGTGGTATCTTGTGCCCTGGTCTGAGACCTTTCCTTCAAAACCATGCTTCTCCCTTTTACGTCATAGGTATTACTCCCTAATAAACCTCTTCAAACTATGGCTCAGTACCTGCATCCTGGGGACCCAGCTAACACACACATCTTTTGGGGTGGGGATGCATTTTTTTTCTTAACCTTAACCTTGTGTTTTCTGAAGACAAGGCTGTTAAGGGACTTTATTTGAAGGCAGCAGTTCCAACTTCTTCTCTTCATGGGCTCAAGTCTTCCGTACCCTGCTCCTCACCTCTACTCCGGCTCGGTGCAGCGGCTGCCCACGTGCTCTAACCTAGGTGTTCCATTTTGTCTTCATTTCTCACACACTAGAATTTCCCTTTCTTTCTTTCTCTCCGAGCTCTACACTTAAAATTATGTTTATTATAGCCCATGGAATTCCCAGATGTTTGTATCAGGAGTATGGTGAGGTATACAATCCACAGTATTTGCATTTATTACTTTTTGATCAAAAATGTTTAGGAAAGAAATTGTTTAAGTATAAAATATGATGTCTAAATTGTGTTCTCAATGTTTTTAGATAATCATGCATAAATTGTACAATACTCAGGGTTAAAAGGAACTTGACAATGACACCAAATCAGAAACTTGTTTTAAAGCTGTCCGGGAATAGAGCCTTCCTTTCCTTATGATTTCTAAGTCTACTGCCTCATTTTTATACACACACCTTTACACCCTTTTTTCTAGGAACACATTATATAAAAGTAGGGGAGAGTCAAATAAGATGACAGGAGTCTGAGCAAGGTTCTGTGGAGAAACAAGGGAGGCATCACTTTTACCTGCTGATCAGGGACAGCTGGGTGACGCTGAGGCATGGCCATGACCTGAGGGGTGAGGAGGGGTGCACCAGGTGGACTGGGGCGAGGGCAAGAAGGGCATTGTGTGCAGCAGGAATGGCACGGTGCTCAGGGAAAGGCAGGTGGTAGTGTTCACCTCGAGGGTGAGGGGTGGGGTGCAAGTTACGGGAGATGCGGGTGAGGAAGGAGCCACCTCATGAGAGGCCAGACATGCTGTGCCAACATCTGGGATACCAGCAGCAGGTGACGGAGTCACTGAAGGGCTTTAAGGCAGGGAGTGCAAGTGTTTAGGTCCCCCAGTGAGGTCACCCTGGATCAGTGTGAGGGATGGTGTGGGGCAGGAAGGACG